CTAGCAATAAAATTTAATGAGTTTCATAGGCGTCCCTAAAAAAGTTTTCTGCTAAAAGTAAAAAATAATAATTTTTATACATATAAGTAATGTGTAGAAAATTTCTATTATATGTTCATTTGGTCAACAACGTATATTAATTTATTTTTATTTTTTTATTTAATTTTATTATATTGATGGTAAATTTTGGTTATGACATATCAAAAAACATTTACATTTTCATTAAATTAGTGCTCGGCAAGAACCATTGGGAAGGTATGAACATATACTTGCCAGGAAAGAATGAAAGGTTGTTAGTTTAGGTTAGAAAAGTTATTAAATAAAAATAATCAACAATAAAATAATTCTGCATTGCTACACTGCACTGCTAGGCAATTTGTCAATAACTGAAATTTATGGCCGGTCGCCCAGTATGGCTCTGTTTGTGCGCCGTTTGCCCGTGCGCGCATTCTTCAATTGGGCGTATACATTTCTATCACTTCCACGTTTAGTTCGTTAGATTTGTATATGGGTATGGCTAAATAAATATGGGGACAAGTTTTTCAAATATTTCAATGCCGAGTTGCTGCGTAACGACCTGGTACATACTACCTAGCTTTTTGGTCTTCAATTGAGATCGGAAAGACTATACATGGTTTGCTTCACTGACCTGTGACGCTGCAGTGTTTCCCTTTTCCTCATTTCAGGTATAAATGAACCTTCAGTTTATTTATGAAAGTGATCATAAAGGAGAAGAAGGTCCATCTGGTGCACAATTCTTTAAGTCTAAAAAGTTCTCATACCTCTTTTTTGAGATGAGCCTTCAATTATAATCTTCTCTTCAAAGCTTCTTTGTCCTTTTGAAAACAGTAACAAATCGTCTAAACTCGACTTGGAAATCTTCTGGACCACGTTGAATTTTCTTAATCTTGCTACTAAAATCTCCAGTTTCCTTAACTGAACTGTTAATCATTTTATGCAAATATATGACATGATTACATTTTCTACGACTTTCAAGCAATTTAAGATCATACTTTTCCCTTAACAATGACTTTTCTTGAATATAATCGTAACTTCCATTCTCTTTATAAGACAAATATCTTAAAGCCTTATTTTGCACTCTTTCAATCAAGTTAATATAAACATCATAATGTGGTGACCAAATCACTAAACAATATTCTAAATGTGGCCTAACATACGATATATACAGTTGCCTTAAGGCACTTATATTAATAAGTACTTTGGTATTGCGTATAACAAAACCATACATTTTCATGGCTGTATTTGTCATAGAATATATACAGGGTGTTAATGAATAGGTGTTACAAACGGATATGGTATGTAAAAAATCCAATAATAAGTGCAGTTTACTTAATAAACATATGTCCTAAAGCGGCTCATTTTCGAGATACAGGGCGTTGAAATTTAAAAATAATAAACTATTTTTTCCTGTAGCTCCGGTATTAGTTAATATTTCTTTATCAAACTCAACAGACAGATTTACTAGCTTAAAGGATGCATAAATATGGCAGAAACCATTTATTGGCTTCTTCCAGTGGCGTGCGATAGGTGTCGTTTCAGCTTTTATCCNTTCTACGACTTTCAAGCAATTTAAGATCATACTTTTTCCTTAACATTGACTTTTCTTGAATATAATCGTAAATTCCAATCTCTTTATAATACAAATATCTTAAAGCCTTATTTTGCACTCTTTCAATCAAGTTAATATAAACATTATAATGTGGTGACCAAATCACTGAACAATATTCTAAATGTGGCCTAACATACGATATATACAGTTGCCTTAAAGCACTTATATTAGTAAATACTTTAGTATTGCGTATAACAAAACCATACATTTTCATGGCTGTATTTGTCATAGAATATATATATGATCCTTGAACGTAAGCTGCGAATCAAAGACAATGCCGAGATCCCTCATTGTTTCCACCCTAGCCAGTGCTATATTATTAATCTCATATTCATAAACAATAGGACGTTTTTTCTTAGCATATGTCATAACGAAACATTTTTTGATATTAAAATATAATTTATTCAGACGAGTCCAACGATAGATTTTATTTATTTCACTTTGCAGTGCAGCGCAATTACAATGATTATTAACTTTTATGCTCGAATTGCAGACATTTTATACACTAGGTCCTGTAGTAACTTCCCCACCTTGACGACATATATTCTGTTGTGTCTAAGATGACTGTTGCATTTCCTTAGGAAGTATGGCAAATTTTCCGCAGTTCTTTGATGGGCTGGATTTCTTTCTAGCCAGGTTTGGTTTAGACGATTTAGTAGTTGTTTATACATGTGCTGTGACAGCCCTTACTTCTTCCAATAGATTTACATCAGTAGCGTTATCATTTAGTTCCACTTACCGCAGATTAATGATGACAATCTGAAACTTATCCAGGCTCGTTTGTTTGGGATGTTTTTCGAATAGCAATTTCTTACCGACTTATATGTAAAAACCAAGAACTGGAGCATTATACGTTATTGTCAGTGACTTCAAACCAAGCACTCACTAGAACGTCATGGACCAGTGTATGTCTGATCGTATGACCCAATCTTTATTCATGACGATAGGGCTAACTACGCAGCAACCAGCCCGAAAGTTAGGCACATTTTTATTTGCAAATCAAGTTAATTCACAATCCGTTTTGTTTCATAAAATAATATAATTCTTATATAAGCACAGATCTTAAAATCCTTATTTTCACATATTCGAATTGACGGCTGAATTTTCTAGAAAACCCTCTGCATTATGCTATGTATTATCCGAAGGATAATAATTGTCGGTGTCGATCCCGTTCAATTGAGATTTTATCGCTCCTAATGAGCGGTTGGAAAGCGTGAATCTATATTTCAGACACTTGAGGTGAAATCGATAGAATAAATAATAGAGCCACAAGATTGATGGAGCAGCACTTAGTACCTTATATTCTGTCTAGTTTTGTTGTGGCTTAGAAATCGAACTTGAACGAATGTCGCATGTCCCCTACCCCCTTTCTGGATATTTCAAAGGTCAAGGTTAATTATTTGTTTGAAGCATTTGTCAAATTGCTCTAGCATGTGTGCATTAGAAGGAAAAATAGTTTGAGTAAGCAGAAATGTAATAAAATCTAACAACGTTCAGTTCGAGCTTTAAAGTGCCAATACTGATATATTTAGAAATATAATGAAAGCTTGATTATTAAATTTAAGTAATTTGAGAAAATTTGATAATGTAATTCATACAAAGTGTCCCTTACTTCGACTACAAAGGCATAAAAGATGGATTGCAAAAAATCTTTATTTCGATCGTCATAGTTTTTTCGATGTTTCACTCTTAGTTATAATTGTTACATAATAATATATTTTCTAAGACTATTTTTTTTTAATTACTTACAACTGCGTGGGCCGTTGAGAAAGAACCGAACTTTTTGAATTGCGCGCTAATAGGGATATTTAGCGATATGCAATTAGCAGCATTGCGTTGCATGGTCTTAGATTGTTGATATCTTATTTAGTTTTCGTGATATTATTTGAGTGCAATGTGTTTAAGTGTTAGTGACGATTTTTGAAATGTGCGATTTTCTGGAACAACGATGCAACGTAAAATTTTGCGCGAAGCTGGGAAAAACTTCCACGGAAACGTTTCAACTTTTGTAACAAGCTTACGGAAATGATGTTCCTGATGCACAACGTTACGAATGGTCTTCACAATTTAAAAAAGTAGTCATAAGTCAGTAGTAAAAGATCCTCGACCATGAAGACCTTCGACTTAAACTGAGGTTAGCATCTCAACTGGGTCATGCCATGAAAACTTGACTGAAAAATTGAACATGCATCGAGTTGCAGCAAAATTTATTCCTCGTTCGATGACCGACGACCAACAGAAAGAAAATAGTGTGGACGTTTATCGGCAACTCCTTAAACAATCCAATGACGATGGAATATTCGCTCAAAGGATCATAAGTAGGGTTTACAACTGCGACAATGAGACGAAAGTTCATTCATCACAATGGATTGGCAAAAGATCTCCACGGCCCAAGAAAGCACGTCAGTCTCGATCCAATGTCAAAGTGTCGAAAGAAATAGTGAGCCTATTTCTTTCGAGTTTAATGGAATTATGCATTTTGAATTCTTGCCTCAAGGTGAAACAGTGAACTGTGTGTATTGTCAAGGCATTTTACAACGGTTACATGAAAAAATCTGCAAAAAGAGACGAAGAGTTGTGGCGAGACAACTCTTGGTTCTTGCACCATGATGCCCCCGCACACTCATTGTTAGCTTTGTCAATTCGTTATAGTTTTGTGCTAAAAATCGAATTACTGTCCTCCCTCACCCTCTTTATTCGCCAGGTATGGTTTCTTGTAATTTTTTCTTATTCCCGGAATTAAGAAAGGACGCCGTTTTCAGACTTTTGATGATATCACAGCAACATCGTCACAGACTTTAAAGGCCATTTCAAATGAAGCTATCCAGTACTGCTTCGCGAAATGGAAACACCGCTGAGAAAAGTGTGTGAATAGGGGAGGGGAGTACCTTGAAGAAGACGAGGACCAATAATGTATAAAATTAGTAACAAAGTTTAAAAAATAAAATTCGGGTATTTTCTAAAAAGACTTCGTACATTACAACACTGATTTTCAAAGTGTCCACTTACATATTGCAAACAGCCGTACTTTTTTTCTTAAATAATTACAATTTTTTCTTATTTCAAAATTGTTCTTGAACAGACCACTTATTTACATTTGGGTTCAACTCAAAATGCTTTTTTGCGACTCAAGAAGTAGTGATAATTGACCCCCAGTTTTGTATGACCCCAAGTGACCTTTTATATTTCTTACCAAGAAACGCTTGGCATTAGAATTAAAGGAAACCCTGTATCTACATGAGCAATACTAATTTGGATTTTCGCCATTTTTCTTATTTATATTTTTATTCAGCTTGCAAGTAAATTCTTCTTTAATATCAACTATACCCGCTACAAAGCAAGGCTGCCAATTTAATATATTATGTTTCAGGCGACCTTAGTGCCATGTCAAAATTGCGGAAGGACGTTCTACCCGGACCGGTTGTTGGTTCATCAGAAGAGCTGTAAGACACCACAGAACAACGTAAGATTTTGAACAATATTATTAACAACTATTTGAGATATCTCTTAATTGACCTATCAGCATTCAGAATAATTAAGACTGTTAGTATCTATTCAGTCGATCTCAATGTCAAAACTAATTACTTATTCATTGACGTAACTTTCTTATAGGTACATTTCATTTAAGGAAGGAATTACACTGGATATGAATTCGAACGAAATTCTGTTAATTATACGAATTCGTAACAAATTATTCTTGAGCTGAATATAAAAATGTTTGTTTTTCACTTTACTGTTAAAATTGAATTTAAGCAGGATCGATCTCATTTGCGAAATATTGTGATACTAGTGACATTTTAATCCCATGATGACTGTCTTTCATACATAATAATTGCCATAAAGGTCATGTTGTTCGTGCAACTCGCGGAAACAAATTATTTTGATCGCATCAAAAATATGTAGGAATTTGTAAGGACAGAGCGCAGGCAGTGTGAATATCTTCAAACTCATTATGTCCGCAAGATGCACAGATCAAGAAGAGCGTTTACATTAGAGACCTTAGTAGTACAAAGGTGTTATTTAGGTCTGGTAAATAAATATTTAAGTTTGATTTACATATAAGCATATTATCTCTGCCTATCTGAAATTCGCAGACAAGATGGATTTGGTCAAGCTCTATCTACTTCAATATAACATTTCGAAGGAATAGATTTTCCATAGATTTTCATATAAATTCGATTCGAAGTAACCGTTGCCTGAGGCGGTGATTACGAATGTTGATACGAAATTGAAGGAAATGTCACATTAAAATAAATACGTATACCAAATGGATATATGACGTCGGGGCTGCTGATTGTCAAAATTCAATAGAATGGGAAACGGGAACAGAGGTAACAGTTTTGATTGAAATAGCGAAACGTAGAACAAAAGTAGTACTAAAAAGTAAATTATTTATATTTCTTATTAATGTAATAAAATGGTGTAAAATTAGTTTTTGAAAGCACTAATACTTAATACGAAATGACATAAATGGAGTGAAATAAATGTCATAATGACGGTGTCATTTTTGGCAACAGCTGATTCCCCTTCCATCTGAGGGCATTTAGATTTGGCAAAAATAGTAACTATTAGTAGCTAATAGCAACTAGAGTTACTCTGAACTGATATTAGTTGCTAATAGGTACTATTTTTGCCAAAACGAAAGCCACCCAGTTCATCAGAAAAACCATAATGAATATTTGGTGGACTGATGCCTTACCAACAAATTTATTACCTTTATTAATTTTTATTAATTTAATTAGGAGCCATTTAAATTTGTTACTAGCTGAAAAGAAAAACATTGTTGTTCCATCAGATGTTATCTGATATATTTATCGGATATATTTACATAACATGTTTACTCTGTTTTTATAGCGTTTTCATCGAATCATTTCGTATGAATGTGGCATTTGCGATAATCAAGTACCAAAAAGTACGAAAGACATTTATCATGAGATAAAAATGGATGCGAACTAGTACAAAAATCTTTTAATAGGAAATTATCTTAACAGATTATTTGTATGAAGGGGACAGTTACGCTGGATTTGAATTCGTTATACGACAGCGTTCAATTTTAACTACTTATATTTGGATTACCTACACATATTTATGTCGTGTGCATGGAATAAATCACAGCGATGTTTAACTTATGCGGATAAAAAATTATAATGTATCTAAACATATAGTTGACATAAGCAAAATAAAATTGTTCCCCATTATGATATTTCTAAACTGATCTTCTGATGACCAGATACACAATAATTAATAAGTCATATCTATTTTCACTGATACTTGATTTATCATAAATGTTATGTTGCTTGTAGGAACTGAGTTGTTTCAGATATTCCATAGATTAGTGGGCCTAGACAATGTAACCACATACAGGCGGATAAGGGGGAAATGTTTGTGGAGGTGATAAACCTTTTCAGACGAAAAGTTCGTAATAGCATGGGTCCTAAAATCCTTCAACTGCAGAGAGTCAAATGTACATCTAAAGCACCATGTTTTCCTTTATATCTTTTGAAAGCTGTATTCGATTAGTATAAAAATTGATAAGATATTCAAGTTCATTGTTTGCAACACAATTTTGCAATTATCACTTTTCGCAAAAGCCATACTGTCTTCTAAATTAAATAAAAAACGGAATAAACAAATACGGTCTCTTGTCTCATTTCGACTAACCATTTTCAAGAGAATCGACAAAATGTTTTAAAAATATCTACAGAAATACAATTTGATACAACTTCTTATAACGAATAAGAAATCGTAGTTGTGAAATTAAAAAAAAAACATTAATAATTTTAAAGTTGTTTTGATCTGCGGATTACAGTCTGGAAAATCAGCGGATCTAGACCGATTTCGAACTTATCAGTTCTCATTAGTATACCAAAGATGAGATCTAGCAATTTGCATTTGATTAGTAGGTCGCTGTCTGTCAGTAGGTACAAAGCAACGTTTTGTGTCAATGGACATTGAATAATAGTAATCAATTAAGATATAACATATTTTGTAGGTTATATCTTACCCACATTCTTATTGGATGTTATGTTACGTCGGGTTGAATTTTTTTAGTAAACTCCATATTACAATATTTCACTTGGTTCAGTCAATGTACAGTATTAGATTTTACATTTTATATTTTACTATCAGTATTTGGATATATTATTGATTATTATTCAATATTATTGACTATAAAAATTAATTGTACCAAATTTATTGTATATATTTTCACTCTCGATTCTGTTCACAAAGAAAGAAAAACAAAATCACTGCGTTGTCAAAAATTGAGGTTGTAAGTAGAAAGTACAGTCTACCCAGATATACCACTATACATATTTTATCAAAAATATTTAACATAAATCGGAATCGGCACTATTGAGCTGGACTTCCTGGTACCTGTACCATCTTTAGAACGCCAATTCAATCAAGTATAAGATTGAGTATATCATTTTACCTTAATTTTTATTTCCTTTCTGATTATCATCTTAAGTAGTAGTCTTAATTTGCTGCAGACGGCGTTCATTACTATCACTTTTTGAATCCCCCTGATCAAGTGCGTTGGTTCTCATAGAGATCCCAATTAAATGATACATCTAGATCCACCACTGTCCCTCTGATATCACCTTGTCGTTCGCATAATTATAATGCTAAAGTTGTAAACGAAAATGTGGTTCTCAGGTGCACATGCGTCACCTTGTAGGAAATGAAGGGGATATTGGACACATGGTGCTATGAAAATGTCTTATCTTCACGCAGTCTGCCACCTCCTCTCAGATTTCCCACCTTATACAGGGTGTTCAAAAAGTTTGGAACCCTCCTCTATCTCAGAAAATACTGCTCAAACAAAAAAATTATTAGGACAAAAGTTGCAGGGTTTTGAGTGACCCATCCAATCCAATGGTGACCTTGACCATGACCTTGAAGGTCATTTAGAGGTCAAGTTGAAAATTTTAAATGAAACCGTATACTTTTGACCCCGGAAATGGTAAGAGCGGAAAATTTTACGTTCGAATGTGACCTTGACCCTGACCTTCAAGGTCGTTTACAGGTCAAGTCGATTTTTAATAAATGACACAATATTCGCTCTTTTCATTTCTGAGATCAAAAGTATACGGTTCCATTTAAAATTTTCAACTTGACTTCTAAATGACCTTGAAGGTCATGGTCATGGTCACATTCGAACGTAAAATTTTCCGCTCTTACCATTTCCGGGGTCAAAAGTATACGGTTCCATTTAAAATTTTCAACTTGACCTCTAAATGACCTTCAAGGTCATCGTCAAGGTCACCGTTGGATTGCTCACTCAAAACCCTGCAAATTTTGTCAAACTTTTTGAACACTCTGTATGTAACTATATATGTATTAGTTTTAATTTGACATTTCGTAATCGCCACTGAAATAATATTGAACAAATTGAATCCAATCCGATGCAACCTCAACAAATAATAAGAATGTATACCATTTCGTATGAACAAATCTTCGTACCAATTCGTATCCAATATAACCACCGCCTAAGTCTATAACTACGCAATATTCCAGCCAAAAACGACCTCCTCAGAGCTCCAAGTACCCAATAACCCAATTCCAATGTCTCAAAGCAGCCCAGCCACTCCCTCTGGACGTCGGCCACCCAGTGTGGAGTGCTACATCTGCGGGAAAATGTTCGGTTCCAACTCTATCAAGATTCACGAAAAGCAGTGCTTGAAAAAATGGAACATCGAAAATGAGTCCCTGCCTCCGGATATGAGGAGTCCACCGCCCACTAGGAACACCGGTAATTATAATTGATCGAATCTAGTTACGTTGCAATAAGGATCACGGTTTGAAAATGCAAGAAATATTTGACCAAATATAAGCATTGCTAAGATCCGTTCATTGAAAGTCACTGGTTCATCATATCTGATAGTTTGAAACCAATCCCTAATACTTGTTGTATCAGACCTTTACTCTGCCTCGTAAAATTATGTGTATTGGTGAAGGGCTCAGCAGATTGCATATATCGTGAAATACGAAATCTCAAGAAATTGTGTATTTTCCACTGTTCTTGAGCTATCGATCAAAAACTTTTGCTCATCTTTGAAAGATTATAGAATCCTTAACACTGGGTTAAGGAAAAAAAATGTTATTGTTTGTGTATTTTAACTAATAGACTTAATGTAATTTTTACAATATGGCAGGTGTAATTATATTTTGTTATTTGGCGAAAGCTATGACTCATTAAGTACTAATATTAGATATACAGGGTGATCCATTAACGGTATCGAGCGGCTGTATATAGGAAACTAGACGTGCTACGATTATGAGGTAAAAAATCTATTAACAAATACGACCAAAAGAAATTGATTTAAAATATTTTCAAGTTTGTAACTTCACCGCTTGGGGGAGCAACAGCTATAGTGTTACAGAAAATTGTCGGTTTTTCGAAATTTCGCTTATATAACCTAAGTTGAAAATACATTTTTTAGATACACTGTTAAACTCTTCACAAGTTATGTATGAACTTTTTTTTGTTATTACCATAGCAAGGTCAGTATGAAGGACGCTATCTTGAAATTTTTAAATTGTCATAACTTCTAAATGCCTTAATCGATTTCAATAAACGATGGCTCATTTTAAAAAAACTATTAACAAAATTTATTTTTATGACATAGGAATAATTTTCCTGCGCAACGGTAGACGATGTTAATGAGAAAAGTTTTGTAATTGTCTCCGTTTACTAAAAAAATTAAATGCAACGATATAAGTTTTTTACCATGGCTTGATAGACCATTCATTATGGAAAATAAATACATAAACCGGAGGTCGATATCTTTTTTCGTTTTCAAGTTATTGCTAAAATAGTGAGGTTGTGCTAGAACATCCTCCTTTATTTAGTTCTCTAAATAACATTGACATAATCCAAGCCAAAATTAAATTGTAAAACTATACCAATATTGTCCTTAACAAGAGTTATTGCTTTATTTTGAATTTTTTTTTGATAACTGCAATGTTTCATTATGTTATTAATTCCAAATGTCTGAGTAGTTATAAAGTTTATTTTTTCCACAACGAGGCAGGCTATGCCCTATGAAAATAGACAGCTGAAAAATTATGCCAAACGAAATGTGACAGCTCTTGCTACGTGCAAAATTAGTGTTATTTGTGTTGGAAAAGTACTTGTGAACAAGGAAAATGCCTTTTACGAATGTGGAAGCGTATGATATGTTGGCAGTTTATTTTCAATGTTTGAAAAATGCCGTTATAACTTCAAAATAATACGCTTTGCGATACCCTCGTAGAATACGCTCCAAAGAAGTATTTCAGCGTTTATCCAGACGCCACTACATTCTGTAAGAAGATATCGCCGTGCAAGAACGGAAGATAATATTATTATGTTGGCTTGTGTCCATGTAAATCCCCAAATAAGTCCCAGGGAATTAGTTAGAGACCTGGGAATTTCATATGGAACCCAAGTACTTTTCTCACACGAATGACACTATAATTTTGCACGTAGCAAGAGCTGTCACATCGTTTGACATAATTTTCATACGGCAAAGCCTCCTTCGTTATGGAAACAATAATCTTATAACTACTACATATTTGGAATTAATAATATGAAAATAATGGAGTTATCACAAAAATTTTAAAATAAATAATTCTTTTTAAAATCAAGATTGGTATAGTTTTACAATTTAATTTTGGCTTGGATTATATCAATGTTATTTAGAAAACTAAATAAAGGAGGATGTTCTAGCACAACTTTACTATTTTAGCAATAACTTGAAAACGAAAAAAGATATCGACCTCCGGTTTGTGTATTTGTTTTCCATAATGAATGGTCTATAAAGCCATGAAAAAAAATAATATTGCATTTAATTTTTTTAGTAAACGGAGATAATTACAAAACTTTTCTCATTAGGGCCGTCTACCGTCGCGCAGGAAAATAATATTTTCATTCCTATATCACAAAAATAAATTTTATTAATAGTTCTTTAAAATGAGCCATCGTTTATTGAAATCGATTAAGGCATTTAGAAGTTATGACAATTTAAAAATTTCAAGATAGCGTCCTTCATACTGACGTCGCTATGGTAAACCAAAAAAAAAGTTCAAACAAAACTTGTGAAGGGTTTAACAGTGTATCTAAAAAATGTATTTTCAACTTAGGTTATATAAGCGAAATTTCGAAAAATCGACAATTTTCTGTAACACTGTAGCAGTTGCGTTCCCTAGCGGTGAAGTTACAAACTTGAAAATATTTTAAATCAATTTCTTTTGGTCGTATTTGTTAATAGATTTTTTAACCCATAATCGTAGCATGTCTAGTTTGACGAGACAGCAAATTCTAGGGTGATTTCATATCGATTTGACATAATCGTCTTATCCAAAAATGGTTCCTAAGGGTGGGAGGGCTCATTCAAGCTTAGGTTATGTGTTAACTCTTTGATGCGGAGCCTGTTGATCTAAAAATGATCTTTTAATTGTAACCATAGGCGTTACATTTAGGAGGGTCAGCTGACATTTTTAATTACATTTTTTTATCTTCAACTTTTTGGTATTTTTAAAATAAAAATCGAAAACTTATGAGTATTCTAGATTAAAGAGGTACTTTTGTCTTGAGTTGCTAGAGTGTACCGTATTCGAGAAAAATCTAATTACGAAATTACAAATTCTTTGAAACTGAAGAGGGGGTCTAGTTGCTTGGTTAACAAGGTCTTCCTTTTTAAATCCTTGCGATTTTTGTATCTGGATACCTAAAATCATTAGTCTATTCTCAACCATTACAAACACATGATCAGCTTTGGGCACGAATTCAACACAGCTTGATAATCATTAGAGAAACAAAGTTGAAATTACTGAAAGTAATGGCCGCCGTGTAGTGCATATGTTATAAAATTTGTTTGTTTTTGTTAATCGTTGCTTTGTTATAACTTTTGACAATTTGTGATATTATTTAATAAAAAAATCCAACTTTTTATAGGATATTACTTTATCTGCGTTCCAAAGCCAACTACTAAATATTTATTAGCTAAGAATAAGCTAATTTTGTAATTATCGTGCAAAAAAAAACACAAACATTTCAAATAGATCATTATCATATACGGTACACCCTAGTCACTCAAGACAAGAGTACCTCTTTAATCTAGAATACTGAAGTAACTTTGTTAATGACCAGTTTGTTATCACTTACCAAATGTCTGCTTGATTTTATTTAAATTATTGGAGAATTTCATAATAAAATTTAGCATCTTTCAAAATTTATAGCGAAACGTTAAGTTATGTAAAAAATCCATTGGTTAGATTTTTCATGTCGAATGTCATTTTATTCACGTGTGATTACAAAATTTCTTTACCTTTATTTGTTCAGACGATATTTGGGGCGATGTGTACTAATTATTATTATTTATTGAAATAGCGGAAATCACAAATACCGTCATTTTCCCATTGATTTGTATGCTGAAATGTTTTTCTTCATTTATACTTAAACTTCAACACAAATCAAGTGTTTTATGTATTAGTAGGTATGATTTTATTTTTGACAGAAACCTGTGGTTAATAATAGATGTTCTAGTTTAAAGCAAAGCTGAATAATTACTTCGTGACATAAATTGCGCTTAAAATCAGGACATTACTGCATAATTTCCTTCTCTTCCGATTAATAGAGAAATATTTATAGAGGGGCGCACTAAAGGTCAATATATAAAAAATATTTAAAATATCTGATTTACCTGCAACGAATTATTCATGGAAACCTTCCTGAAAAAGCAATTTGTCCGGTTCAAGGTTTTCAGGTAAAGTCACACGATATGGACAATTTATAAAGTGCATTTTCCTGCCAGCCTTTTCGTTGTAGATTTTAGATACGACAGATAAAGTATTTTTTTATAACTAAATAAATTACATTTATTTAAAACAAAAAAAAATACCACGAATCATTTGCGTTTAAATAAGTGTTTTTAAACGTACAAGGTATTTTAAAATAAGTACGAAAAAGTTCAATAAAAAAAACTGATACAGGGTTATTTAACTAATGATATTGTAAAAAACAACTATTTTATGGATCACATAGCAATGAAATGCACCCGCAATATCTAGTAAACAGCTAAGATCTTTCGTCAGCAGAATCATCAGACGTAAATCGGTTTCCAACTTATTAGTTCTCATCAGTATGCCATACATACGCTATAACTTACATTCATACGGGGTGTCCGGAAATGAATGGCCTATACTCTAAGTCTCTTTACAGAAAATAAACCAGTTTAACGCAAGTTAGCCTAGTTGGAAAGTTATCGACTTTCAGAAAAAATGTATTTTATTTTGATTCCATCACTTTTAAAAAATTATTTTAGTGAGAATTTTGAGTAGTTTCAATTTCAAAATTTCGTGAATATAAATATAAGCTTATTTTTAACTCACTAAGAACATCTTTCGATTTTTAACACTTTTTAGTAGAGATTTTGCAAAAGTCTACACAACACTAAGTACTTTATTTATAGTAAATTATAGGTAGGTATATTTTTATTTCATGTTGCATAAATTTCTTACTGCAGTAATCATTCGAGTAGTTGGGGTATTTTAATCAAACTTCACTGTTTTGTAAAACTAAACTAAATTATAATCCATAGGCTCTGATCTTGATTTCTTGTTGTTTGTTGCTACGGATGAAACCGCTCATAAGATAATAGTGGTCCTCTGAAATGTTCCGTAGTAAGGGGTCGCATCCAATGCTTCCAAACGTTTCGACCATCTTCACTGTTGGCATCTTCAGGGTCTCAATCGCAGTGGAGCTTTTACAAGTGAAAATCCGCGTTAAATTGGACTACTCTATACAGGGTGTTAATTGTCTATACACAATGATGAAACTTAAGTTAATGATTTACCTAATTTAAAGTAATTTTTTGTACCAGTGGCGGAGATACCGGGACTTGTTTCACTAAAACCGAATATTTTGGATGTCATTACATCTAACTTGTCATGGCGCTTTTAAGAAAAAATATATCTTTTACTTCATTCGAAAAATGAACCATGTATTACTGTTTTTAATATTTATTTTCGCAATTTTTCAGCAGTTCATATGATTTGTTTTTAAATATACGATATTAAATACAACGTAATCATGAAAAATCTGAGACAATAATCAGCGCCATTTTTTACCAGTACCTACACTGCTTGCTGCCTCTAACAAAGTGCTAAACTACGCCATTTAGTTTTATCAAACTTGCAATGGTTAGTTTGTATTTAAAATTGTATTTCTAGAAAACAAATCATTGAACTATTTTTGAGAAACGAGTAGGCCAGATTTTCGAATAAAATGAAAAAGGCATATTTTCTGTTTGAAATACTACAGAACATATCCAGTGGCGTAGAATTTTTGCGGTTTTCAATGAGAGCGATACCTCTTCCACTGGTGGACGTATTTGTAATCTAATTCAGTGGATTATTGCCTTTAATTAGGTAAAAAATTATTACCCCAAGTTTCATCATTCTGCGTCAAACGCATTCAGAAATATTTTGGAACAGTTTTTTTTTAAATATCAACACGTCTCGAAAACTGTCGATTTGTGGAGCCATGTTTATCTAACCTTTAATTAACACAATGTATATAAACTTTTAATCAAATTTTAGTTTTATAAGGAGATTTAATAAATACTTAACGTTGGTAAAAACTGAAACATTGGTTGAATTTTTTTAAATATGTCTTTTCAGAAAAAAAGTCAGTGACTCCCGAACCCGAACAGCAACGATCCCTTATCGAAAACGAAAAAGAGAAGGAGGACCGTCCGAAGTCGGCGAAGAAACCGCCTCTGTTTCCTTGCTACATCTGCGGGAAACTTTTCACGGTCAACTCGATTTACATCCACGAACCGCAATGCCTGAAAATGTGGAAAATCGAAAACGACAAATTACCACCAAATAAGAGAAGACCGCAGCCCCTCAAACCTGACATCAAATTTACACGTAAGTGATAGCGATTTAACAAATATGTACCTACTGCAAAATTTCATTTGGACATATTCCACAGTTTCTAAAGGATGATGATGGCAGATTGCCACTAGTCGTTTGTAAAAATACTAAACTAGAATTTAATGTAGGATAGTAGATCGTAAATCGTTAGTTCTATGTTCTCTACTGAAAACATGTATTGAATATTGAATATTGAATATTGTATGAAAGGAAAATTGATTTTTATATTTAAATATGATTTCCACAGAGATTAATGAAGAAGAACTGAAAGGAAAGAAGAATAAGCCCCTTTTTGGCAACTTTTTATGAAGTTTCTCAAGGAAATATCAGTGTCGCTCTTCAACGTTTTGTTTTTGATTTATCACCACCAATATATTTTTTTTTAAATAGGGCCTTGTCGTTTGAAATTTATATTTTGAATTTTGCCTTCACTGATGCGTCACTTGTGGCAGTTTAATTAAGTTTCAGCTATCTGCAGACGTTTTTGGAAAAAAATTTCAAGTACGGCTGTTTATTTAAGAAAATAAAATCCAAAAACTTAAATTGAATCGTTTTTAATCGATTAAGACTAAACAGACGGTTTATCACGAAATGTTAGTCTTGCGAAATATGAATTTTAAATTTTTAAACACCTCCTGATTCATAGCGTATTGATAAATTTGACTAAAAACCAGTTTTCTGAGCGTATATCTATGAGCGCATACTAAATACTAAATCAGTCTTTAAAATAACATAACTAAAACTTTATTATTGCAGACAAAAAAAGTACGAAACATGCTCACCTTCACGGGAAAATGCAAATTGTCACAAAAATAAACATACAATTTGTTCCGAAGATACTCGAAGGAAACCGATGTTATGCTATTTCTTTTATTAGTCATATTTCACTTGTTTTTCAAAATTTTAGGACAAAAATGTATAGTCTGATGTTAAATGATGCGAGCAATTATTTTTTGCTGTCAATATTAATTTATGGGGTTATTATGGGGTTTTTATAAATAAATAACCAAAATATTGAATATAATTATAAATTTAAAAAAAAACAAATTAATATTTCTTATTTTTAATACTTTTTAACACAGCAGTCTTTACTTACATAACAATAAAAAGAACAACGAACAAAACATCATAGATAATGCAAAGCAAAATTAAATGGTAAATTTAAATTTTATCACACATGTTCAAAGTGCACCATCACTTGATGACCGAGTTACTTGGCCATCGAGAAGTCCTGACTTGGCCATCATGGACATTTTCTTTTATCGTTGTGTTAAAGCTCAGCTACACACAAAGCGATACGACAATGAAGAAGAATAGAGAATAAATATTTCAAGAGTGATAAAGTCAATACATCCATGACATGATTCAATCTACAACTCAAGTATTTATTAATGGGTGCAGAAGTATATAAATAGTAATGGGATGCAGTTCCGACATTTGTGATAAAATTTAATTTTACCATTTAATTGTATACTGTTTTGTTCGCAGCTCTCGTTATTGTTATGTAAATAAAGGTTGCTGTGTTAAAAAGTATCTATTAAAAGTAAAAAATATTAAATTAATTTATAGAAAAAAGTCAAATCTTTCACATGACTACTTTTTGATTAAAATCATAATTATATTCAATATATTGGCTATTTGTTTATGGAAAACTTCATAAATTATGGTTATAAAGAAAATTTCCCTTTCCTTCTAATGAAGGAAAAATTCAATATGGCGTCCATAATAAAACAAGAGTTAACTGCCGCTCACATTTTTAGAGATATGTTAATACTGACAGCAAAAATCGATTCCTTACATCATTTAATATCAGACTGCAAATTTTTGTCCTAAAATTTTGAAAAATAAGTGGAATGCGACTAAAAAAAGAAATAGCAGAAAATTGGTTTCCTTCGAATATCTTCGGAACTAATCGGAATTTTAAATTTAAAAAAAAATCCGATATTTTTTATCAGTAAATAAAAATTAATAATCACTGTACAGGACATGCTTCTGCTAAATTGGGTGTAAATTGGAATTTTCACACATTGACCATTAACCATGGTTGAACTATACTTGCTTCCTTTCCTCCAATGGGGCGTGCTGAAAATGTAGATTTATCGCAATAGGTAACTGTTTGAAATATTTTTCTGATGCCTTACTTCTTGAGATTCTTGTACAGGGTGATTCACTATATTTTGACCCCCCCTCCCCCGTTAACTTTTTTGTTTTAAGGGTTATAAGAAAATGTGAAATATAAAAGTTGCACGAGTTTTTATGAATTTTTCTAAAATGATAGTAGAAAAACAAATGAAGTCCAAATAAAACTTTGTTAAGTTAAATGGAACACCCTGTATATTTTTACATATTTGGATAGAACGTTCCCTGTCGAGCATAGTCATATAGGGTTTGTTGTCTAACAATAAGCGAGATAATATTAAAAAACGAAAAGAAGGTTTTTTATTAAGAAAATAAGAAATCTTGTAATTGTTAGACCTCTTTCAGGTATTTCTGCCTTTTTTCCAATTACGTAAGGATTTACAGATTTAGTTAAAATATATTTTGATATATCGGACATTGATTCGGTCCAAAATGCGTATAGGTAATGTAACGAAATCTCACTAATTAGGCCGTGAGAGATCTAATTACTCATGGACATTATATGGTTGGTCGTGACAGTGACAAGTAGTAAGGTCTTGATAACATTGTTATTGATAGGCAGTTGTTTTTATTTAGTTAAAATAGGTTACCCAGAAGTAGAAAATTATTTAGAATTAAACTAGTTTGGAGAACTTTGCTCTATTTTAATTCCTATAATATTTCAATTTTCTACTTCTGCGTAACCCATTTTAATTAAATAATAATATAAACTGTCAAACAATAACAATGTTGTCATGACATTACCTGTCACTGTCGCGGTCTACCATATAACATTGTCCATGAGTAATTAGGCCTCTCACGGCCTAATTAGTGAGATTTAGCTAAAGCACCTAATTTTGGACCATATCAATGTCCGATCTGTCANCATGGTTGAACTATACTTGCTTCCTTTCCTCCAATGGGGCGTGCTGAAAATGTATATTTATCGCAATAGGTAACTGTTTGAAATATTTTTCTGATGCCTTACTTCTTGAGATTCTTGTACAGGGTGATTCACTATATTTTGACCCCCCCTCCCCCGTTAACTTTTTTGTTTTAAGGGTTATAAGAAAATGTGAAATATAAAAGTTGCACGAGTTTTTATGAATTTTTCTAAAATGATAGTAGAAAAACAAATGAAGTCCAAATAAAACTTTGTTAAGTTAAATGGAACACCCTGTATATTTTTACATATTTGGATAGAACGTTCCCTGTCGAGCATAGTCATATAGGGTTTTTTGTCTAACAATAAGCGACCTCTTTCAGGTATTTCTGCCTTTTTTCCAATTACGTAAGGATTTACAGATTTAGTTAAAATATATTTTGATATATCGGACATTGATACGGTCCAAAATGCGTATAGGCAACGTAAGGAAATCTCACTAATTAGGCCATAAGAGGTTTAATTACTCATGGACATTATATGGTTGGTCGTGACAGTGACAAGTAGTAAAGTGTTGACAACATTGTTATTGATAGGCAGTTGTTATTATTTAGTTAAAATAGGTTACACAGAAGTAAAAAATTATTTAGAATTAAATTAGAGTATGGAGAACTTTGCTCTATTTTAATTCCTATAATATTTCAATTTTCTACTTCTGTGTAACCCATTTTAATTAAATAATAATATAAACTGTCAAACAATAACAATGTTGTCATGACATTACCTGTCACTGTCACGGTCTACCATATAACATTGTCCATGAGTAATTAGGCCTCTCACGGCCTAATTAGTGGGATTTAGCTAAAGCACCTATACGCATTTTGGACCATATCAATGTCCGATCTGTCAAAATATATTATAACTAACTCTGTAAATCCTTACGTAATTGGAAAAAGGCAGAAATGGCTGAAAGCGGTTTAACAATTACAAGATGTCTTATTTTCTTAGTAAAAAAACCTTCTTTTCGTTTTCTAATAGTATCTCGTTTATTGTTAGAGATGGACCCAACAAACCCTACATGACGATGCTCAACAGGGAACGTTCTATCCAAATATGTAAAAATATGCAGGGTGTTCAATTTAACTTAACAAAGTTAACATCCGCGGCCATTTTGTGTGGACTTCATTTTTTTTTCTACTATCATGTTTGAAAAATTCATAAAAACTCGTGCAACGTTTATATTTCACATTTTTTTATAACTTAAAACAAAAAAGTTAAAGGCGGTGGGGTCAAACTACAGTGAATCACCCTGTACAAAGAAAATAACGTACACTACAAGTAATTATTCTTAAAACAAACTACGTACGAAAAGCAAAACAAAAATCATGATTGTCTGTCTACCAGATAGCAGTCAGCCGACTTTAAATAGTTCAAAAACCTTGAGCTTCCTTTAGCCAGCATAGTTGATTTCTATTTAACTTTTTCTTTTAAATAAAAGGCCATGCTTAAAATATTCTATGATGGCTGAAATATTCACGGAACTTAAGTGAATGAATAAATATAACTTTTTAAGTATCAAGCGTTTCTATGAAACTTTTTATTAAAACAATATTTCCTACTTCCTGTTTCAATATGGCATCAAATTTTAAAAACTCCCTGTAAATTAATATAAGAAATTTAGTCACCGGAAATGTTTTTATATCTATTTGATCCTCTTCCGTATCGTCATTAAACAATGAATAATAAATATGTAAAACGGTTTAACATTATTTAAACGATATCCTGATTTATTAAATATTAATAAAGAAAATTACGCGGAGGGGTCAATAGCCGTTCGTGATCTTGATAATGCAAGTCCAAGGGGACTATCGGCATCGCCTCCATTCCGCTCGCCCGGACGGGGTAAGGTTTACGACAGACAAGGAACAGGTAAACCAGAACTGAAAGACTGCGTCGCTATCGATTTCTCCTCATTAGACCGTTTGGGGCGGAA